TTCTTTTTTTTTTTTTTTGATGTATGCTGAAGTTTTTTGTCAGTTGTTTTTTCAGTTCATTTTTCAGTTGGCTTTTGTTTCAGTTTAATCCTTACAAATGTATTTGATTATTATAGTGAATAAGATTAGTTTAAGTTTTTTTGTTATAATTTGCATCATCTCTTTTAAAACTTTGAGCGGTAACCATAGAAACAGGCAAGCAAGGGTTTTGTCTAAAATTATCACTGCAGTGTTATGTAGTTTATGCTACTTGTTTAGAACATTTCTTTTTATGTATTAATATAACACGCTTTAATTATTTTTTTAATAATTTGTATCATTTTTAATCAAAATGCATTTATTTATATTGACATCAGTGCTATTTTAGTATTATTTCAATACTATTATTGTATTTATTAATATAGCTTTTGTTTTTATCTTTTCAGTTTTCATTTGAATTTTATTTTAAGTTTTAGTCAATTGTGCTTTTGTCATTTTTATTAGTTTTCATTTTTTGAAATTTTTTATTTAGTTTAGGGGGTTTCATATTTCTATTTAGCTTTAGTTCTAGTAATTTTAGTACTTAAACATATTTTATTTCAGTTAGTTGCCAAGTTTTATTCAATATTTTTTATTTCAGCTGTATTTCATTTAACAAAAATTATTTTAGTAGTTTTATTTAACAGTAACAACACAAGTTGACTTGCACATCTTTGATTGTTAAGTACTAAATTGATGCATATATCATATATAAAGATATCAATAGTGAGACCAGCTTCTGTTTTTATAATGAAATGCTTCTATATTTCCAGGATGTTTAATTCTGAGAAGAGCTTCTTAGCATGAGAACAAAGCATAAAAATAACATTTGTTTTCATTGTCTGAGCATTGAGCATTGAAGGTATCATTGAAATAATGTACAAAAGACATCAGTGCAGGGGCTCTTTGCTTTGTTCACTGTGGATTTTTTATATGCAAGCATGTACATTCATATAAGTGGATAATTCCAGCTGCATTAAAAAGATAATTGTGTATGCACATTTGTACATTAGTGAAAAACAGTCTTTGAAGGATAGAAGTACAGTCTGTTTAATACATTGTGCTTAGGATTTATCTAGTTTTTTGAGCACTGTAAATTTGTGGAAAAGTGTGAATGATTGTCACTCATGTGCACAACAGTATGACATATTAAACAGATTGTGCTTGTTTTTATTCACGGCAACTTAAATATGGTGTTTCCTATGTGTGGTAATGATAACATTTGAGTAAAATAACAGTAATCCAGTGTTTTAAAGGTACAGCCTCTGGAAAACTAGATTGACTTTAGTAGTAAAATTGAGAATTTGTTGATCTACCTTCCACTCGAGCGGCAACCTCCCGCTCTCTCTCGTGAAGCCAACAAGGAAGTGACTTAAGCTGCAATTCATCAACTGGCCGCTAGAGGCTGGCTGCAAAAGGGAGTCAATCCCATAGACTCCCCATGTTAAAATGCCCAACTTTACAGCAGAAAAAAACATGTTTACAGCCTGGTTCAAAAAATGATTTTGGTCTATATAGCTAATTTTGCCCTTCATGACAACTATCCATGTTTTTATACAGTCTATGCTTCCACTGCAATGTCATTTATTTCTCGACTCAAATTATGCTTTGTGCTTGATGGAAGTATGACATTTTAAACAAAAGTTTGATTCGATTTTATTTGGGGCAAAATTCCAGTCATAATTTCATAATGTGTGTAAAAATCGTGAATAAATATTAAAAAGGTAATTGTGACTTTTTGTCTCACAAATTAGACTTTATTTCCTCTCGCAAGTCAGATTTTTTTCTCAGAATTGCGAGAGAAAAAAGTCTAAATTGTGAGACAAAAAGTCACAATTACAATTTAATGTAAATGGAGAATTTTCTCTGAATTCATGTATCACAATATTTACTGTTTTTATCTCTGAATTCTGAGTTCTCGCAATTCTGTTTTTTTTCTTTCTGTTTCCACCATGGAATAAAAAATAGAAAATGTAATTGACTGTTGTTATCTCATAATTAGCATCTCACTATTTTGAGTTTGTCTCGCAATTCTGACTTTTTTCCTCAGATTTGTGAGTTTATATCTCGCAATTCTCAAGAAAAAAGTGTGAATTACGAGATATAAACTCAGAATTGTGAGGAAAAAGTATCCGAATTGTGATATAAAAAGCCACAATGACCTTTTTTATTATTATTTTCTTTTATCCCATGATGGAAGCAAGCTTCAGAAGATATCAGAGCTTCTAGAATATAATATTGTATAATGGATATTTTCATACACAAATATTGAAAGTCTGGGTCTGAGGCAAGAGTAAAATAAAATCTATATAGAAAAAGAATCTGAAAAGTAGCTAAAGTAAAAGGTAAAAAGTTTTAATGCGAGCGTCATATAATAAAAAGTTTAAATTTGTCTCTAAGTTTTGATAAAAATCAACCCCTGGTCCATTAAAGCGCACATAGTCGGAAAAACACTCATATATTTATGCTGTTTTTCCTCTCAAGATCACTCGTGATTCAGAAGAAGTCCAGCACCCCAGAACAAAGATCATATCAAAGCTCTGATCTAATTTGGAGCTCCGTGTTCATCCTGATCCACCTGAAAGAACCAGCCGAGCAGAATACCGAGGTCACAATAGAGACACACTCACATCCATATTTGATATAAGCATCAAGCAATGCACATTGACAGAGGCAGTCATCAGGAATCTCAAGTGAATATATAAGTTGATGCAATCAAAGGCAGACTATGAGGCAGGTAATGAATGCAAGGCTCCTCATATTTTTTCATACAGTATTTTAAGCTTTGAGAATAAGGCAGAGCAGATTATCGTGAGTGTGTGTGTGTGTGTGTGCATGTGTGCTTGTCCTCGTATCTCGTAATCATAAATAAATGGAGTATAATTGAGCGTGGACAATCTGATGAATGGCCTTTTGAACTAACAGTGCTGCGGGAAGCAAAAGCTTAAGATAAAAAAAGGTTTTATCAGATCTAGTCCATTTGAATGATGACAGAAGACATCATATTTAAAGTCTTCAAATTCTATTTGATTAATCTTTTTAAGCATTTAAGGATTTATATATTAAATATAGTGTTTTTTCTAATAAAATTATAATGAAGTCACTACCATTCAACATTTGTGGTCGGTAAGTTTTTAAAAATGTTTTTGGAAGTCTCTCTTCTATTTGATTAGAAATACAGTATCTTACTGTATTTCTAATCAAAATCTTACTGTATTTCTAATCAAATAGAAGAGAGACTTCCAAAAACATAAAAAAAAACTTACCGACCACAACTTGTGAATGGTAGTGACAATTATTTAGTTCAAAATAATTGTAATTGTTACAATTTGAAATAACTCTAACTATTTTAATATATTTTGAAATGTAATTAAAAAATCTCCAGAATGCTGATTTGATGCTCAAGAGAAATTTCTTATTATTATCAGTGCTGAAAACAGTTGTATTGCAAATTATTTTTATTGAAACAGTGACATTTTTTTAAAATTCAGGATGAATAGAAAAACTGTATTTATTTCAAATAGAAATATTTTGGAAATATCTTGTATAATTGTCTTTACTGTCACCTTTGATCTATTTAATGCATTCTTAAAATAAAAATGAATAAAAGCTGAAAAAAATAACAACAATATTAATTTCTTTAAAAAAAATCTGACACTAACGATAGTGTAAATGTATTACAATATTACAATATTTACATTTAAAACAATTTAATAAAAATGTTTCATTATATAGAAAACCTCTTAACTATGGTAAAATCATGTGTATGGCTTCTTGTAACTTGTTGCTTTTTTATAACCACTTTATAGCTCATCCAGGATTTATAATACTTATTTTATCCTCTTAATGAAAGTGATTTGATGGTTTATTATAGTTATTTGAGGTTTTAATTCTTTGTTTACAAGCATTAATCCTATTTTCCTGTGTCTGACCCAATCACAATTCTGTTCCAGATACTCTGTCTGTTCCTCGCTGGTCTCCTCAAATACCTCGCAGAGACTTCGGCAACTCCATAAAACACAGGTAAGTTTTGTGCAGATGTTAATGTGTGGTAGTGGTTACAAAATGTCAAGCCAATCAACTCGTGTGGTTGTGCAACTCCAGTCATGCCTGCTCAAATCTGATGACATGATAACCCCAAATACCACCGATCCCAAGTCAAACAAAGAGCCTGCGTTTGTACTTAGACCACGAAACGCTGTGCTTTTGTGATAAAAGTTAACAGGGTTTTTAATGAGAGCATATTGTAGCTTAGCCATCAAAACATATGCAAAGTTCACCAAGGCTAAAAAATGTCTCATTTTCCTAGTACTTTTGACATGGAAATCAACGTCTACATGTCATCGTAGATGGACAACTGCCAGTTTCAAAACGCAAGCAGATAAACAGATCCAAAAAATTGAAACGCTCATATCAACTTCAAACTGGCTACGGTGATGTGAGCTGCGTACTAAAGCCAGCCTCTTCTTTTATGAGACAGTATGGCTTCAATCTAATGAAGACACTTTGACACTGTCATAGCCCATTAGTCATATTCTATTAATGGTCAGCTTCTGTTCATATCAGAGAAATAGATTGGCAAATGCACAGTGACCCTTCAGAGGAACTCTATTGCAGGAGATTTGAATGGCTCTTTTATTGTGGAGAACGGCAGATATGACTGCGTGTAAACAAAAAGAGACAGAGATAGAAGAAATGAAAAATACAGAGAGCACCTTCCATGCAATTCTGCTAAACAATCGCTGATGCATCCGTACGGCCTTTGCCCTCTCGTGTATTTGTCAAGTGCAGTTGAGTGCCAAAGAGATATTGAGAGATACTCGGTTACAATTAAATTACTCTAAATTGAGAATTACTGCCAAAGTGCCTATCTTTGGGCATACCCTGCACATATCTGTCTCTCGATGAAAAGGTTACTTGGCAAACGTGATCGCTGTTGTGACACATTCGCTCTTTCATCTGAAGAGTTTAGGAGTGGTTGTCAAAAGGTCAGAACCATCTGCTGATAGTTTGACAGCGAAGCGAAACAAACCCATATGGCCTCATGCATTTTAAAAATGGATGAAATTAGAGTTTTTTTCTTGGAAAATGTCTCAAAAATGTCTCAGTAATTAATCACACTACTTATTTGTGCTTGTGCAGGTTTTCCACGAAGTATTGGATGTCGCAGACATGTATCGTGTGCGGGAAAGGAATGCTGTTCGGCTTAAAATGCAAAAACTGCAAGTAAGTTGTACAATTTTTGTATGGGAACCCATTTCTGCAACGTAAGAAAATAAATCATGTTTCTGCAACTCATGCAAGTGCTAAAACTTTCATATGGAAACCCATTTCTGCCACATAAGAAAACAAATTCTGCTTTTATAAATTATAATATGACATGAAAAGTTGAAATGATGAGATACTAAGTCATAATTTTGAGAGAAAAAGTTGAAATGATAATATAAAGCAGTTATAACAAAAAGTTGAAATTATGACAAAAACGGTTATGACAAAAAGTTGAAATAATTATGTAGTCAGAATTATGAGATAAAATATTGAAATTATGAGATACTAAGTCATAATTATGAGATCAAAGTTAAAATTATTATATAAAACAATTATAACAGTTGAAATTATGACAAAAAGTTTAAATTATTATGTAGTCGTAATTCTGAGATAAAAAGTTGAAATTATGACAGTTATGACAAAAGTTTGAAATGATTATGTAGTCATAATTATGAGATAAAACATTGAAATCATAAGATGATACTAAGTCAAAACTATGAGATAGAAAACTGAAAATATAATATAAAACAATTCTAACAAAAAGTTGAAATAATTATGTAGTCATAATTATGAGATAAAACATTGAAATTCTTAGATACAAAGTCATAATTATGAGATAAAAAAGCTGAAATTATATGGTCCTAATAAAAAGTTGAAATTATGACACAAACTAATGATATACTAAGTTATATTTATATAAAAGTAAAAATTATGACATAATGTTTACATTATGATATAAGAAAAATTATGACAAAAAGTCAAAAAATTAAAACAAAAACAGCTGAGATAAAAAGTCGAAATTATGAGATGAAAGTCTAAATTACTGCATGAGATAAGTAATAATTAGGACAAAAATGTTTAATACATATATATAATACATAAAATAATACGTAATCATATATATAAAAATAACTTTTAGCAATCGTTGTGATGCGCTTTGCATCAACAAACAACACTTACATTTCTTTAAAGATCAAAAAATGATAAAAATCAAGTTATTTTTGTAATTCTGTCTGATGCTGAAATTACAGACTGAATCACAGCATGTAGACTATAAATGTCAAATGTTAAATACACACTCCACTATCTATGATCATTTCTTTAACCATCTCTCTTATAACAACTCAAATCTCTGAAAACGAAAATTCCTAACATTTCAGCTTTGTAAAGCTGTGATTTGATGTTTTTGTTTGCATCACAGCCTCTTTAGAATTCAGCGCTAGACACTTTGTGCCTGCAGTAGTGTCTGAACATTCAAATTGAGCATAATTATCATTATCATTAAAAGATTATTTAAATAAATTACCTGCCTAATAGTTTCCACTCTACCACCCTTGACTACGGCATCTTGTTATTACGATACTTGCTGGCTTTTGACACCCTCAAAATAATGGCTGCATATTAAGTGTTTGTTTTGAATATTCATTGATTTGCTTTTACAAGAGCAAACTAATAAACATTTCTGTCATGCTTTCTTTTGTCAGATTGAAGTGCCACAACAAATGCACCAAAGAAGCACCGCCCTGTCATTTACTCATATACCACAGAGGAGGTAGGGACTCATTCAGAGGTATTTCAACTTTTATATTTTCTTTCTTTCTTTCTTTTCTTTTAACTCCATAAATGCTTAAAACAAAAAGTACTACACAAGGCAGGCATATGATTCAAATATGATTTCAGACACAGCAGTGTTCTTATACATAGCATGTTTTCAACCTCATAATTCTTTTATATTCAATTGAACATATTTAATTACACGCTTGATCTTTTTCAGAAAACATTGCGTTTTGAAAATTGGTTTCCAAACAAGAGAATGTGTTTAAAGGGAATTGAATGTATTTAAAAAAAAACTGTCATTGTTAGTGGCTTCACATCTGCTTTGCATAAATGTACTAAACAGTTTGTCTTGTTCTTTGTTAAACATTATAATCTTCAGTCTGCACTCATCTTATCCTTGCTCTCTTTTTCTGTTTTCACCACTTCATCTTTCTCTCATTTCTGATATTGCAGATCAAGGAACATCTCAAGGTAAGGAAGCAGGTTTGTGCCCCTCAAACACAGTATTTCCTACTTCATACCTTAAATTTTTCCCTGGAATGATTTCATATGTCATATGAAAATAAATGTATACTACCGTTCAAAAGTTTGGGGTTGGTAGGATTTTTAAATGTTTTTAAATTAAGTCTCTTTTTTATTTTTTTTTACCAAGGCCGCATTTATGTGATAAAAATACAATAAAACAGTAATATTGTGAAATAATATTACCATTTAAAATAGCCATTTTCTATTTTAATGCATTTTAAAATATAATTTATTCTTGTGATGCAATGCTGCAATTTTCAGGATCATTTCTCCAGTCTTCAGTGTCACATGATCCTTCCGAAATCATTCTAATATGCTGATTTGCTGCTCAAGCATTTCCTGTTATTAATGTTGAAAACATTTTTTACAAATATTTTTTTCAAGACTGTGATGAATGGAAAGTTCAAAAGAACAGCATGTATTTGCAATAGAAATCTTTTGTAACATTTTAAATGTCTTGACTGTCACTTTTCAACAATTGTATGTGTCCTGACTGAATAAAAATAATAATTTCGTTAAAAAAATCCACTGAACCCAATCTTTTGAGCTGTAGTGGTATATTACAAAAACGAGTATAATGGAGGAAAAATGTCAAGCCAATTTTGTTAGGCTGATTTAATGTGAAGCACTTTCAGAATTGGTCTGTTAGGAAATTATACTAACTTTAGGAAATGATATGTATTGAGTTACATATAAATGACTACTTCCAAATTGAATTTAATGTGTCTTATTTTCATGCTTCAATTTAATGGATCCTTAATATGAAATGATATGCTTTTATGCATATGAAATACAAAAAGATTTGTTTTTCTTTGCTGGAAAAAGCGAACAATGATATTCTACACAACCTGGACGTTGCTGTCGAATTTCCATGTGTGTCATATATGTGATATTTCTAATATATACTGTACATAATACATGGTTTAGTGGCTCCTCCATTAAAATGTGACAAGACTTTTCAGAGTTTTTCTGTTACCGTGACAACTGCCTCCTGTTACCGTGGATACTATGCTGTTTCTCTCGCCCTCTCTCTCAGCTCGTCAGCTCGTCAGGACCGAGTCGGTACCATGTGACATAAACAACCCCCTCAGGTACTCAGACCTCCATATTAGCCAGACTCTCCCCAAGACCAACAAAATCAACAAGGTAAGATTAGTTACGTTCCATTACGTCTGAACAAACACAACTCAACCCTGTTACATCCCTCCACGGTCAACATTATTACAAAACTATCTCGGGCAGATTGGCATTATAAGTCCTTCCTGAAATTTTTAGAACTTGTTTGCTTTCGCTTTTTATTCAAACAACTTGGCATGAAAAGCAATTTTTGCAGACCAACATCAAACAGCCTTCCTGTAATTTTTGCCACTCGTGGTTTTCTTATATGTTTATTGGAAACCAAGGCACGACAGGATGAGCGTGACATTTTTAACACACCATGTCAAGTCTACTTTTAAAAATCGTGTCTGGGGATCCTTACACTCAATTCCATTCCACTGCGCTCCATCTAGCTGTTTTTAAATGCAAAAACACGTCCTGTGTGTGTGTGTGAGCGCGCGCACTTCATGACGGCATAAACGCTGCTAGAACTTGTGTGAACTGACTTCATAAATCCACTAAAAATCACCTTCAGACCAGTTGGTTATATGTAACTAAAAAAGAGTGTGTTAAAAAAACAGTATGCTGCTACAGTGTGTTTGATAATTCATTTCCAATATATCTATCTAAGTTGTGAATTTGTGGAATAAATGTGACATGGAATTTAGAATTTGTAGTTAACTTTAGTTAACTAAAACTAAGACTGAAACTAAACTAAAACCAAAAAAAAAAATGTTTATTGAAATAACGTATACAAACTAGCTAGTTGCCAACATTTCTCATTTTAATTTAGTTTAACTTGATGTGCTAAAATAATCAAATTAAAGCTGACAAAAAATATCATAAAACATAAAACTGACATAAAACTATATAGACATATACAAACAAAACCGCTAAAAATGACGAAAACACAGAATAAAATGACTAAAACATTAAGTAAATGAAAATGGAAAATATAAAAATAAAAACTGATTCAAAATATGAATTTAAAACTATACTGTAATAATTTGATGATACTAAAATATTGATTCACTTTACAAATAAAAAAAAAAGGTGATAAATATATAACTTAAAAATTAATACTTTGTCTAACTATTTTATTAATGTATGGAAGTCTTTGTAATTTTATTTTAAGTTATGTTTTTGGTTTCTTTTTTTACAGATTGAATTTAGTAGTGTAAGTGACAATTCATTAGAATTATAATGGAAAAATAGTAGATAAAATAAGCTAAGGCTTCAGTCTACACATTTTGTAGTTATATTAAATTATGGAAAATTGTGTATGAGGACCGAAGTTTAAAAAAAAAATCTTGATGATGAATGCAACGACTTTTTAAGTGTGGATTAGGTGATATTTTTTGCAACCAACCATATGAACCTTAAAATATATATATTTTTTGTGGTTCTTAAAACTGTCATACCTGGGTTAACCTGACCTGGACCTGAACTTTAACTGAATTTAAAAATTACCATTTTATTCTCCTTGTATGTTTTGTCTCTGTGCCTTCTTAGACAAGTTTGAGGTTTCTATGCAACAGAAACTGCAACAGAACAGAAACAATATTTAATTTATGACAGTGAAGAGAAAAAGTTCATATCCTTATCATTGTCACGTGTACGTTTCTGTCTAGTTCCTGTTTGCCCCTATTTGGTTCATTTCCTGCTCATTTAGTTAATCATCTTTCATTAGTTCCCACCTGTGTTGTATTAATCATCTCGTTTGCTCCTTAGTTGCCTGCCCTTTATAAGCCCTCAGTATCTGTCATTCCTTTGTCCTGGATTAATGCTATTTTTAACGGTTATTGTGTGTTGATGTTCATTAAAGTATCCCTACGTTTACTCCTTCCTCGTGCGCTCTCTTACTACAACCACGAACGCATGACAGAATCCAGGACCCATCACTGACAACGACGACATAAATGGAGGAACGAGCGAGGTTAATCACCATGGCACAGGCGAACCCCGACCCGATCGTCTACGCGAGGGCGTTCGTGCCGCTCGCCCTCTCCAGCTCCCTCGAGGGGGAATCCCTTGTGACGCTGTTCCGGATCGGGATTACTTACCATCGCCCCGCGGAGCTCCCAGACACCACCAACCTCGACTGGAAGGAGGCAGTCATCCGGTGTCTGGAGAGCCTCCGATTCCGATCCGGGACTCCTCCGCCGGCCGTTCCTCAGTCAAGCCCGCCGGCCGTTCCGAAGTCTAGCCCGCTGGCCACGCCGA